ACTATCCGGCAATAGCAGTCACCTGTACCAAAGTGCTACGCTTATTGTTCTTATAATTTTGAATAGATACAGTGAAAGCTGTAACTAAAATGACACGATATTGGAATTTCTTCCGGCCATTGCATCAAATTCTCTTTTTATACGTACATGTACGTTGTTTCATATTCTAAATAATAATATTCTTTGACTTAACTGATCTGAACTAGAACGTATATCTAGTACACCACGTTTGGGAAGATTTCCACGGCGATCGACGACTAAGTGAGATCGTTTATCGCCTGACTAACGCCGTTAGAATTTGGCACAGTTGTCTAATTTTGGTATGTTAACACGTGCTTTTCATGTCTGTTTGAAGGTGTGCTATTAAGAAACAATACGTTTTTTAATTTTTTAATTTTTTAAATCTTTATTCACATTTCAAATAAAATACAATGTGCAACATTTCAACAATTATACATAATTCAAAATCCACTCCCTTTATATCAAACTTTCAAAGCTAATGCAAATATAGACAATCATAAAATATGATATCATGTAATATTCCTAGGATTAAAAAAGTTTGTGCAAGGAAGACCAGAACTAAAAGAAAGCTGTATAAATGCAATTTAAGAATGCAATTAATTTGGTCATATTGTACTATCTAATAATTGTACGTTAAATATATTTCAACTTTAGCTGAAAACCCTTTTCGTGATTGTTTAAACACAATACATTTGATAAGTAATATAACTACATTGAGAGAGTTGTCTCCCTTCCACTGATGTCGTTAACCAGTTGAGAACAAGCTCCCACGTCTGAGCAACATATTCACAATCATAAAATCAAAAACACTAATGTACATAAAGTTGAGTACGGGAATGGAATCTTTTACAGTGAGAAAGCTGTCAAATTGGATCCAAGATTGCACAGCCTTTTTTAAATATTTTAGCCACACATATTATTCTCGAATGGTTCAATAAATAACATAAATAGTAACTGCACACAATATATAGATAACAGATTTCTGAATGACAAAAGGTTTTCATTGTAAATGTAAAAAAGGTGTTGATAATTTAAATAGTTTTCAATATACTTTTATTTACCCTGCATGATCTAAATTATCAATTATTTCGATCAATACAGTGTGATCTACATTCGTATTTAGTAATATTTGATTTTTTTGTTTCCTTACTAAAAAATATAATATGTATAAAATATATCTGAGAGAGTGAGTCAGTGAGTATGGTGTTACGCCGCTTTTAGCAATATTCCAGCAATATCATGGCTGGGGACTCTAGTCTGAGAGCAAGATGAATCGATTCTTGCGTTTATTTAAAGGGGTTTCTTAACAATTCTGAATTATATTTGTTCCCTCCATATGATGTAGTTAAGCTTGGCCAAAAGTGAAAAAAGGGAAAGATATTATTACTGAAAACCACTTGTTAACGATTTTGCTAGTTCTATTTTCATAGTTCACTACTAAAAACCTATTACATGTATATATTCTGCTTTTCCTTTTATGACAAATAACTCCATTAGTTCATTGATCTATGATCATTATCTATTTCAAATACAATTCTCATTTATAAAAAGATATATGAACAAAAAAGTGTTATTTCATGGATTGGCCATACAAGTATTTATTGCGCAAAGTAGGCAGCCAAGTGGGAAATATAAGATGAGGCGAGAATGTGTTTCCTGGTTGTCTTTGTGAAACACATTTTTTTAGCACATGAAGAGTATATACATTGAACAATACAATACAATACAATGTAATGCAGTACAATACAATACAAATCGAGGTAATTCCTATTTTCGTTATTTTGTCTTTCATGTATCCTAGATATTGATAATAATTGTACTGTAAGAACAACAACAATTATTTCTTTCACCTGTGTAAGTTTCTGGAGAAATTCATGTTTTCATAAATTAGATATAAATATCAACAGCACATCATAACACACGAAGTATGAATAAGCGGTTTGCATGGTGCGTGTGTGCGCCCGAATACGGTCTTCGACTGCGATTTAGAGTATCAAGTGATATTATGTCATGTTAAACTCACTGACAGCGCCAATGTGATTGTGTTTTGGGGACTGGTTTGCATTTTCTTCTACGTTGTGATTTATTTATTTATTTAATCAATCCTGTTTGATCGTACGGTAGAATAAACTTGTTCATTGCTAGTAAAGAATAAATTATGTCGGATATTTGGTTATCAATTTGAGTATTGTTCGGGTTATATAGCCCTATTTACTTTTTGTCCTTTGAAAATGTTGGATGTCAATTTCCCCGAGTTATCACAAATGAAAGAGCACCGACACTGAAACTGATTGAAGGTAATCTTTGAAACACTCAGCGTATGAAACAATCACGACCACTTCCGTCAATTTCTTTTACGTTAAAACACTTAACTTTCATCGGGACTTCTTATCGGTAAATTAACAACGTGGACAAGTTCCAATGAATGTGTACTTTGACATAAAAATCCAATGCCTATTATAGATAGGATATGTACTTTAAATGATATAATTATTTGCCAATTGATGTCAGACAAGGGCGCTTGGCCAGTTGACGGCCAAGCTAAATGAGGGTGAAAGTGATGTGTCACAATACGGCACCGAGCGGTATACAAAGCCAGCGGACGGCCCAGCTAAATGAGGGTTAAAGTGACGTGTCACAATACGGCACCGAGCGGTATACAAAGCCAGCGGACGGCCCAGCTAAAAGAGGGTGAAAGTGATGTGTCACAATACGGCACTGAGCGGTATACAAAGGCAGTTGACGGCCCAGCTCAAAGAGGGTTAAAGTGATGTGTCACAATACGGCACCGAGTGGTATACAAAGCCAGCGGACGGCCCAGCTAAATGAGGGTGAAAGTGATGTGTCACAATACGGCACCGAGCGGTATACAAAGCCAGCGGACGGCCCAGCTAAATGATGGTGAAAGTGATGTGTCACAATACGGCACTGAGCGGTATACAAAGCCAGTTGACGGCCCAGCTCGATGACGGTTAAAGTGATGTGTCACAATACGGCACCGAGCGGTGTACAAAGCCAGCGGACGGCCCAGCTCAACGAGGGTTAAAGTGATGTGTCACCATACGGCATCGAGCGGTATACAAAGCCAGCGGACGGCCCAGCTAAATGATGGTGAAAGTGATGTGTCACAATACGGCACTGAGCGGTATACAAAGCCAGTTGACGGCCCAGCTCGATGACGGTTACAGTGATGTGTCACAATACGGCACCGAGCGGTGTACAAAGCCAGCGGACGGCCCAGCTCAACGAGGGTTAAAGTGTTGTGTCACAATACGGCACCGAGCGGTATACAAAGCCAGCGGACGGCCCAGCTCAATGAGGGTTAAAGTGATGTGTCACCATACGGCACCGAGTGGTATACAAAGCCAGCGGACGGCCCAGCTCAACGAGGGTTAAAGTGATGTGTCACCATACGGCACCGAGCGGTATACAAAGCCAGCGGACGGCCCAGCTAAATGATGGTGAAAGTGATGTGTCACAATACGGCACTGAGCGGTATACAAAGCCAGTTGACGGCCCAGCTCGATGACGGTTAAAGTGATGTGTCACAATACGGCACCGAGCGGTGTACAAAGCCAGCGGACGGCCCAGCTCAACGAGGGTTAAAGTGATGTGTCACCATACGGCATCGAGCGGTATACAAAGCCAGCGGACGGCCCAGCTAAATGATGGTGAAAGTGATGTGTCACCATACGGCACCGAGTGGTATACAAAGCCAGCGGACGGCCCAGCTCAACGAGGGTTAAAGTGATGTGTCACCATACGGCACCGAGCGGTATACAAAGCCAGCGGACAGCCCAGCTAAATGAGGATTAAAGTGATGTGTCACCTGTCGTATTTTGTACATTTCCATCGGCTCCTGCCATAACTAACATTTGAAGCCATTCTCTCGATCCACTCACTGATGCTCTATCGACTCGTGTGACGTCTGTGTTATTATTGACATTTACATGAACTCCGGTAACATATCAAAACATCATTTCCATTCGCTCTTCCATGCTCATGAAGAGGTATATAACCAGTGCACAACCTTTCGGCACCCACGCATAATGTTCCAAGAAGCAGTGTGGCCTCATTGTTATTCTGTACATTCACAATAGCTCAAGCCCTCAGTAACATATCAACACACTTTTGAGAACCACTCTTTAATGCAGAGTCGTGTGTCGCTTGTGTTTCTTGCGTAAGTTAACAACAGCTCTGATATTCAGTAACATAATAAATCTCTTTCGATCTACGCATTGCTGCTCCATGGAGAAGTGTGGCTCCCTTGTTATTCTGTACATACACATCAGCTCCAACCGTCAGTAACAGGTCAACACACTCATTCCAACGTGACATTGATGCGCCATGAAGTGGTGTGTTGCCTGTGTTATTCCGTACATTCACACCAGCTCCAGGCTCCAGTAATATATCAACAAACACTTACGATCCATGTATTGATACTCCATGTGGTGGCGTGTCGACCGTACTATTCTCTACGTTTACACCAGCTCCAACCTTCAGTAACAGATCAACACACTCTTTCGTAGACGCATTGATCCTCCATAAAGTGGTGTGTTGCCTGGTGTATTATGTACATTCACTTCAGCTCCAACCTTCAGTAACACATCAATCCGTTCTTTCGATCCACGCATTGATCCTCCATAAAGCTATGTGTCGCCTGTGTTATTTTCTACATTCACAGCAGCTCAAGCCTTCAGTAACAGACCAACACACACTTTCGTTCATAGAATTGCTACGCCATGAAGTGGTGTGTTGCCAGTGTTGTTTTGTAATTGGACATCAGCTCTAGCCTTCAGTAAGAGATCAACACATTCTCTCGATCCAGATTTTGATGTTTTATGGAGTGTTGTGTCGCCAGTGCTATACTGTACTTTTACATCAGCTCCAGTCTTCAGTAACAGATCAACACACTCTTTCGATCCACACATTGATGCTGCATGGAGTGGTGTGTCTCCTGTTTCGTTTTGTACTTTTACATCAGCGCCGGCCTTCAGTAACATATCGACACACTTTTGAGATCCACACCCAGATGCTTCATGAAGTGGAGTGTCGCCTGACTCGTTTTTTACTTTTACATCAGTTCCAGCCTCAAGTAACATATCAACACACTTTTGAGATCCACACCTCATGCGTTATGAAGTGGTGTGTCGCCTGATCTATTCAGTACCTGTATATCAGCCCCAGCCTTCAGTAACAGGTCAACACACTCTTTCGATCCACACATTGATGCTCTATGGGGTGCCGTGTATCCTGAGTTGTTTTGTACTTTTACATCAGCCCCAGCCCCAAGTAACAGATCAACACACTTTCGAGATCCACACCCTGATGCTTCATGAAGTGGAGTGTCGCCTGTCTCATTTTTTACTTTTACATCAGCCCCAGCCTTCAGTAACAGGTCAACACACTTTTGAAATCCATACCTGGATGCGTTATGAAGTGGTGTGTCGCCTGATCTATTCTGTACCTGCATATCAGCCCCAGCCTTCAGTAACAGTTCAACACTCTCATTCGATCCATGGATTGATGCTCTAACGTGTGTCGCGCGTCCTATCAAATCCCCGACATTCACGTCAGCCTTAAGCAGCAGGTCAACACACTCTTTCCGTCCAAACCCTGATGCGTTATGAAGTGGAGTGTCGCCTGTCTCGTTTTGTACTTCAACATCAGCCCCAGCCTTCAGTAATATATCAACACACTTTTGAGATCCAAACATTGATGCGTTATGAAGTGGTGTGTCGCCTGTCCTATTCTGTACCTGTATATCAGCCCCAGCCTTCAGTAACAGTTCAACACACTCTTTCGATCCATGGATTGATGCTCCATGAAGTGAAGTGTAGCCTGAGTTGTTTTGTACTTTTACATCAGCCCCAGCTTTCAGTAACAGTTCAACACACTCTTTCGATCCATGGATTGATGCTCCATAAAGTGAAGTGTAGCCTGAGTTGTTTTGTACTTTTACATCAGCCCCAGCCTTCAGTAACAGTTCAACACACTCTTTCGATCCACACATTGATGCTCTATGGGGTGCCGTGTAGCCTGAGTTGTTTTGTACTTTTACATCAGCCCCAGCCCCAAGTAACAGATCAACACACTTTTGAGATCCACACCTGGATGCTTCATGAAGTGGAGTGTCGCCTGTCTCGTTTTGTACTTTTACATCAGCTCCAGCCTTCAGTAACACGTCAATACACTTTTGAGATTCAACCTTTGATGCGTTATGAAGTGGTGTGTCGCCTGTTCTATTCTGTACCTGTATATCAGCCCCAGCCTTCAGTAACAGTTCAACACACTCTTTCGATCCATATATTGATGCTCTATAGAGTGTCGCGCGTCCTATGTTATCCCAAACATTCACGCCAGCCTCCTCTAACAGGTCAAAACGCTCGTCCCATTCACGCCTGGATGCGTTATGAAGTGGAGTGTCGCCTGTCTCGTTTTGTACTTTCACATCAGCTCCAGCCTTCAGTAACATATCAACACACTTTCGAGATCCAAACATTGATGCGTTATGAAGTGGTGTGTCGCCTGTTCTATTCTGTACCTGTATATCAGCCCCAGCCTTCAGTAACAGTTCAACACACTCTTTCGATCCATACATTGATGCTCTTTTGAGTGTCGCGCGTCGTATGTTATCCCAAACATTCACGCCAGCCTCCTCTAACAGGTCAAAACGCTCGTCCCATTCACGCCCTGATGCGTTATGAAGTGGAGTGTCGCCTGTCTCGTTTTGTACTTTCACATCAGCTCCAGCCTTCAGTAACATATCAACACACTTTTGAGATCCAAACATTGATGCGTTATGAAGTGGTGTGTCGCCTGTTCTATTCTGTACCTGTATATCAGCCCCAGCCTTCAGTAACAGTTCAACACACTCTTTCGATCCACGGATTGATGCTCCATAAAGTGAAGTGTAGCCTGAGTTGTTTTGTACTTTTACATCAGCCCCAGCCTTCAGTAACAGTTCAACACACTCTTTCGATCCACGGATTGATGCTCCATAAAGTGAAGTGTAGCCTGAGTTGTTTTGTACTTTTACATCAGCCCCAGCCTTCAGTAACAGTTCAACACACTCTTTCGATCCATACATTGATGCTAAATGGAGTGCTGTGCAGCCTGAGTTGTTTTGTACTTTCACATCAGTTCCAGCCTTCAGTAACATATCAACACACTTTTGAAATCCACACCTGGCTGCTAAATGGAGTGGTGTGTCGCCTGTTCTATTCTGTACCTGTATATCAGCCCCAGCCTTCAGTAACAGTTCAACACACTCTTTCGATCCATACATTGATGCTCTATAGAGTGTCGCGCGTCCTATGTTATCCCAAACATTCACGCCAGCCTCCTCTAACAGGTCAAAACGCTCTTCCAATCCACGCCCTGATGCGTTATGAAGTGGAGTGTCGCCTGTCTCGTTTTGTACTTTCACATCAGCTCCAGCCTTCAGTATTATATCAACACACTTTTGAGATCCAAACATTGATGCGTTATGAAGTGGTGTGTCGCCTGATCTATTCTGTACCTGTATATCAGCCCCAGCCTTCAGTAACAGTTCAACACACTCTTTCGATCCATGGATTGATGCTCCATGAAGTGAAGTGTAGCCTGAGTTGTTTTGTACTTTTACATCAGCCCCAGCCTTCAGTAACAGTTCAACACACTCTTTCGATCCATGGATTGATGCTCCATGAAGTGAAGTGTAGCCTGAGTTGTTTTGTACTTTTACATCAGCCCCAGCCTTCAGTAACAGTTCAACACACTTTTGAGATCCACACCTGGATGCTTCATAAAGTGGAGTGTCGCCTGTCTCGTTTTGTACTTTTACATCAGCTCCAGCCTTCAGTAACACGTCAACACACTTTTGAGATTCAACCTTTGATGCGTTATGAAGTGGTGTGTCGCCTGTTCTATTCTGTACCTGTATATCAGCCCCAGCCTTCAGTAACAGTTCAACACACTCTTTCGATCCATACATTGATACTCTGTAGAGTGTCGCGCGTCCTATATTATCCAAAAAACCATTCACGCCAGCCTTCTCTAACAGGTCAAAACGCTCTTGCATTCCACGCCCTGATGCGTTATGAAGTGGAGTGTCGCCTGTCTCGTTTTGTACTTTCACATCAGCTCCAGCCTTCAGTAATATATCAACACACTTTTGAGATCCAAACATTGATGCGTTATGAAGTGGTGTGTCGCCTGATCTATTCTGTACCTGTATATCAGCCCCAGCCTTCAGTAACAGTTCAACACACTCTTTCGATCCATGGATTGATGCTCCATGAAGTGAAGTGAAGCCTGAGTTGTTTTGCACTTTTACATCAGCCCCAGCCTTCAGTAACAGTTCAACACACTCTTTCGATCCATAGATTGATGCTTCATGAAGTGGTGTGTTTCCTGTGTTATCCTCTACATTTACTCTCGCTGCAGCTGCCGGGGTGTCTCTTGACTTGATACCTGAATTATTGTCAGCTTTCTGCTTTCTGAAACCTTCAGCCGATTGACCAACTTCTGTTTCGTCTTCTTCGTGAGACGTATAAAGCTGTTCAAGAAAAAATAGAAGAACCTCTTGGCTTCCTCCCTTGCACGCTGAGTGCAGTGCAGTATTTCCATTTGGAGCCACCATGCCGACATTTGCTCCTTTTCCCGTCAAAACTCTCACGACATCCAGGTTTCCACTTGTACATGCTTCATGAAAAGGGAGTTGTCCATCCTTCGATGTCATATTGACTGTGGCCCCTTTATCAAACAGCATCTCAACAACATCCAGATTCCCACTTTTACATGCAGCACATACTTCATCGCCACTAAGGTCTGCTCCTGCCACAAGTAAAGTCTTAACAATGTTCGCATGTCCAATTGTACATGCTTCATACAGAGGCTTAAAATGGAAATCGTGACCAGCAACATTTGCTCCTCCCTCGAGCAAAGCTTTCACAATTCCCTCCGTGCCATTCCGACATGCGCTAACGAGAGACACGTCCTTACATTCACTATCAACATCAACTCTATCCAGCACCAGTTTTACAACTTCTTCCTTGCCACTGAAACAAGCCGCATGTAGAGGAGACTTATCATTGTTATCCACATAACCTACAGCTCCTCTATCCAGTAACAGTTTCACTACGCCCTTGTGACCAGACCGACACGCTAGATAAAGTGAAGTTCGACCAGTCCCATCTGTTACATCAATATCTTCACCCTTGTCAATGACATACTCCACAGCTGACACAAGACCATGTTCACACAGGTAATGCAGCACAGTTGTGTCATTTCTGTCAGATGCATTCAGATCAGGAAGAAGGCGAAGTATCTGGTGTACAAAGTTACAATCTCCGGTCTCAGCTGCTATCATCAGCGGGGTCTGCTCATCAAGTCCGTAGGTCGCATTGATGTCCAGTTTTACATGTTGTGTCAGATATGTCAGCACATCACCTGCAGCATGTTTGCACGCACCGTATAAGATCTCATCTATCTCTGTCTGATGCAGTGTAATGTTTCCCTCCAGTATGTATTTCACCATGGTTGAAGATTTGTTGCTTGGAAGCAACTCCAAACAGGATTCTTGTGTATCTTTATCAGTGTTCCTCAGAAATGTATATACAGATATCTGATATTGTTCTTTCAGTATGTTCATCATTTTATCAATGAAATCTGGATCACAACAGATTTGGTGTGAGATTACATATGCCAAGTTGCCCTGCTGAATCTCCAAGGCAAATCTCTGCACCAAGTTGTCAATGCAGAAAAGTGGGATTTCTGCAACCAAACCTTGGTTTTCAACAGTCCCATGTCTAAGTCGCTGGTTGATGAATGAGAGACTACAATTCTCAATGACAAATATTGGATCTTTTTCAGTCAGAAGAAATGCAACACTGTCATAGATTGATGGATGGTCAAACATGTATGTACCATCTTCCAGCTTCAGATATGACCCAACAAGCTCATTGGCAGATGATACACAGTCATGCATCTTGTATTTGTCTTTATACAATTCAGACTGAGACACTTTACCATTTCCTTGGATCATTGCCTTCAGGAGTTGATACTTTGATTTATTGTTTATTAATTTCTGCAAAGTTTGGTTTAGAAATTCAAGAGGACTCGTGAAAAACTCCTCTGCTGATACCTTGGCATTCTGTTTAAAGGCTGTGGCAAAAAGTTTACAGACATGTGGAAACCCATGTGGACACGCGATGTGGCTTAATTTAAAAATGTCTATTTTCTCAATGTCAACACCTTCCATTCGAAAAACTGATATCAAAATATTCAGTTTTTCTTCATGATGTCTGGTTGGTGAGAGTTCGACGAGATGTTTACTGCTTGTAAGATATTCCCTCACTCTTCCAAGGTCTGGTAAAGAGGATTTTAGTATATAATCACGTCCTACAAGAATAAATAAAGATTGTTTCTTTCGATTTTGCTCTGGATTGATGTCAGTTAACTTATTTAAAGTTTCATTTAGCTCCAAGTCAGGCTTATCAAGAATGGGACGAAGAGAGGGTCTCCATTTGGTCCACTCTGCAACGTGAAATTCCAGATCACCAAATATATCATCCATCATAATCACTGGGTTGGTACAGGTCCTGGTGACCTCATTGAACTCGTCTGGGGACACAACTTGGAATACTTGTCTCCCTTGGCTGTGCAGATCTCTGAGGGCCATGTAGGCCACTGTAGACTTCCCCTCTCCTGGTCTTCCCTTTATTGTCACCCATGTTGCTCCTCTGTCAATCTTCTCCATCAACTTCTGTAGTGCCTGTGTCTTAACCATACCTTGGGTCCATGACTGTATCCTTAATTCTGTTCGTTCTGAAAAACCGCAAAATATCTTCGAACTTACAAATCTGATAATCTTTTCAACCCTGCTATCCCCTAAAATACTTTCCAAACTTGCTGTACTGTGTGATAAGTTATTATCTGATCAAACAAAGGATCAATGTGTCATGTATTAGTAAATGAGCTACGAATCAGTGGTCAAATCGCAAATGTGAATCTGACATTCATTCTCATCTCTTATTGAAATGTAAATATATAAAACAATTTTGGAAATAACAAAAGCTTTTTTTCGAGACAAAACGTGTTTACTTGATGTTACTTTTCATATTTACAATAACTGTTTTTAAATTATCTATTTTCCTGACATGTTATGTATATTTTTAAGATTGAAAGAGTAATGACTCAGAATCATGGAAATATTACATGTTTGAGAAATGGAAACTTTTCAAATAAATTTGCTGTATATTGCACAGCTGTTATATTGCAGCGTTTGGTCTGTTATCTATTGCTTCATTATACTTTCACCATGTTCATGCTTCACGCTTGACGACTAGATTGTATCTATCATTATTTTCAAGGCTCATGTCTGATGGTTATGCTATTTCTCTCATCATGTAATTCATGCTAATGCTTGATGACTATAATTGGGAGGAGTTGTTATCCTCTGGAACTCACTCCTGATCTTCTGTACTGTAGTCAGCAGTTTCTCCTCGTCCTCCTGGGGACAGGGCTGAGATTTGCCGATGTTCTGCGTTCCACCGAAGGTCACATTCCTGGCCCCCTTCATCGTCACATCTCCAAACTGCTGTTTGACTTGAAGAATGTTATACTGAATGGCTGTAATGTACCAAATTCTTTGTTAACTCGACCCTCATGAAGAGCCAACACCATTTACACATCGTAAATTACAGAATCCTATTCGCTTGTTGTTCAGATATAAAGAAAAACAACAAATGAAGATGCAAATTTTCTCAATTTTATGATATTGTTATAGTGCAAACCATTTAAATACTTTTATTTAATATTTCATTTATCTAAATACCTAACTGGTTCAACATGTTTCCAAGTGCACCGAAATTCTATGCCCTTTGTCTGTTTAAAATATTCAGCAAACATTCGACGTATCCCCTCTTATCATAAGCCCCTCCGGGCAGGACCCTTAATCTCCAGGGCTATCTATAAATTTCAATTAACACCTCCTAACGTCGCCGGATCTTACGTCTATACATACACGTTAGACAATGACCTTGCCACACGTTACGTAATACCTCGCTCTACAAAACCCGACTGACATGGTCAGTCAGAGAGACAGCCTAGAGAAGAGCCAGAAGGTAAGTGACAGAACGGTTCTCCCACCCGGGAACATTGGCCACTCGGTCCCGGTGTGCGTTCTGTCACGTTATTATCAACATGTACCTTATCGAATGTCATTTCAACTATCAACAATAAATATGGCTGCTGTCGTCTAAACTTCACCCCTGAGTTTTGTCTTCCGTCATCACCCTGAGCTACCATCTGAGGGCCGAAACTTACGCCCTTGGACAGATGATGGAGAATTATCCGGGTAGCGTGAGTTTGCTGTGACTCACGCACGATCCCCCTACCCTAACTCGCAGCAAAGCAAATGGTAGTTCAGAAGAGGTGATGGGAGACAAAAGCAGCGTCAAGCCAGCCGCCATCTTGACGGGAAAACGAAGAAAATGACAGACAACAGTCCAGCCAACCCGATCGTCAGCAACAGACAGCAGCCCAGCCTACACCATCGTCAGCAACGAACAGCAGCCCAGCCTACCCCATCGTCAGCAACGAACAGCAGCCCAGCCTACCCGAACGTCAGCAACAACGACATCCAGACAATATTCATGTAATCATGTGAGTACGCCAACGTTCAGCCATGCTACCAACACTCAAGATCAAGTCGACCAACGTCAAGATTCTTTAGCAAGTGCCTACCGTTATATGTGTGTGTGTGACAATATATTTGAACCTTCGTTCCAACTCTAAACGAGTACTGTGCTAAAACGTATTCTCACGGACATTCTTGTTCATGTAAGGTATGTTATGTAATCAAGTCATTATTGTTTCGTTGTCTTAAATTGTTTGCCGTGTTTTTCTATAATGAGTATGTATTGCAATCTATGTATTGTTATCAGAGGTACATCCTTATCAGATTAAGTTTTTGAAATCGGCTAGGCTCCTACTCTATTCATGTCCTACACCCTACGCTTATACGCATTTAGTGCAGATCCACGATATCTGCGGGTTCCGAGTCGTCCCATACAAATCAGACTCCCGGTTTCAAGGATTTTTCTTTTAATATGTGGCCCTATAACCATTACTATAGACAATAGCTTTCAAAAAGTTATCCAATACCCTACAATTTCCTGCTTATATCTTCATTTATTCCTTTTTGAGTATGTAAGCACTGAAATTATTTGTACTCTGTGTGAAAACTGATAAAATCGATGTAGTAGCAGCGATTGTAGAAGTATAATAAGTTAGGGAGCCTCGTTGCTTACCAAGCTTATTCAGTGGAGATTGTGTATACAGTCTATATCCTACTTCTTCGTTTTGCCAACGTGATTTTGTGCTTAATTATGATACCGGCGAAAATTATGTATATTCGTGCGATCAACCGTAAATGGTCTCTGGCACACAAAATACGATTCGTTCAAATATCTTCGAGACAATTTCACATGATTGAATTTTTCATTACATTCCAGTTTAGACTTTTGAAGTTGGTTAGGTTTTGCATACACATTCTACTTTTTAGCGCAGATCACACTTCACATCTGCTAGCCTTGTCGAGTCTAGGCTCACAATATAAGACTCCCAATTTCAAAGATCTTACTGTTATCATGAAAATATTACTTTCATATGCAAACGACAACGCTTTACCCACATTATGTTTTTGTCCCCACGTCACACTGCAAACACGAAAACGTCGTTTTTTTCCGTATATGGTCATTGGACGGAAAAACGACTAAAAATTCATTAAAATTGATTAATTGGTCAGCGTCTAGAAAGTGTCCAGAAAAGGGTCGAGTTTTTCAAGCGTAAAATGGACGGAAAAACGATGCTTTTTGCTCCGCCTTGTACAACTGTTAACGGCCAATCAGATGGCGCTGGTCCCCCGACGCACGTGATATCCAAGGCTTCCTTTCGGAAGCTTAAGGTTTCGTATTTCTGGCATGCCTTGCTCTAGTATCTGTCGCGCGCAGTGCAGCGAGATTTGCTGATAAGCTAGTTTTAGGATATGTAACATGTTAATGGAATTCAGACACGCGCCAAGAAGTCAAACCAAACAATGTTACTAAGTTTATTGTGGTAACGGCTTTGTACAGTTACCCTATCGGATAATGGGTTGTGTTTCATTTGGTTATAACAATAACTAATTTTTTAATGTGAAGTTTACAAGATATACGACTTGGACGCGAGGTCGGTCACATGACGTTCTTCACGTGACTGTATTCTTGAAAAGGCGCAAACACTGACTACTTCCACATTCCTGGGGAAAACCCTTGGAATTTCCTGGTACGAATTCATACAGAAGCGTGGTTGCAAGCCAATTTAAGGATACCCTCGCCACAACCCATCCCAGAGAGAAAAAACACGAAAAAAAATCCAAACTGTCGCTGTGACAATTTACAGAAATCTATGAATTTACCTTAGTATCTATTTGACACATCTTCACAATCACCTTTCAATGATTGGCCAATTGATCAGTGATGCCAAAGGCTTGAAATAGCCACAGGTTAATTAACAACTTCGGAAATATCTCCCGTCACGTTTATCGTGTCGGCCATTTTGACGTATTGTACTTGATGTAAATGTATTACAACGCTCTGTCATTGTAATTGACTTACTGAGGTAATTCTGTAAAAGATCTTCTCATCTAATGAGGATATTGTTTGGAATATATTTCTTGTAAACATACTAAAACATATGTTCCTCGCTTTGGGGGAACTATTTTATTCCGGGGTGGCCCATTAAATCTAGTAGTAAGTCAAGGCACCATGCGTGATCTGTTATTTTATGTGTTTAAATTACGATTTGGGGCGTTAATAAAATACACTGACGCAAGTATATTCTATTCAAATCAATTGGATAATTGAATATGCTTTCTTTTACATATTACATAACATCACTGCACAAAATATGAACAGTTGCAGTAACACACTACGGTAATCGCATTAACCATCTTTTTTAACTGTACAGTATTTCAGTATTTCAGTTATATCATGGTGTATCAGACTGATGTGGGATAAAAATCCGAAGTGGTTCAGGTAATCCAATGGGTGTTCGGGAAAAGGTGAGCGTATCCTGCCACACAAGTGGCACCCGTCACAAACACATGCAAGGACAAGTCAAATGTTCACCTGAACAAAACACGGAAACACACAGTGATGCCCGTCCTCACTTTTACCGAGCATGTAAATTATTTTGTCCGTCAAAAACATGGACGAGTATAAACAATATCTTCATTCACGTAATACATGTCATACATTTGACAAAATGTGTATTGACTCGGAGCTTTATTGTTAATCACAGCGTATGCAGTTGAACTCATCACCCGCCCCATTATTGATAACCCTTCTTGAAGATCTATGCAACACTCTATCTTTTAACTGGCATGTCAGACTTCTATTTAATAACTCAGTTTTATTTGCACGGATTACTATGGAAGGGACATTGTCTCGTTGTCGCATTGTCGCATTGACGCCTTTACAAAAACAAGCAAAACGTGTCAAAATTAACAAAAGCGCGACAATTGGCCATTTGTCGCATTGTCGCGTGTTCGCACTGTCGCTCTTTGATAATCCTTTTCTTTATTTTACAAAAGGGCGACGATGCCGTATCGCGACATTTTCAAGGTCAAAATATGTCTCGTTGTCGCATTGTCGCCCCATCCCAAATGTGTATAAAAGGCGTAAAGCTCAGTTATTGTTACAGTTGGGAAGTTCAACCTGATAAATGTACGTCTTGAAATGAAAACACAAGTCCGTCCGCGAGTCCATAACGGTTTATTGTGAGCTCTTCTCTAAAAGTGCTTAGTGTTCAACTCCCAGTTCCAAACACGTAGTACCTCCTCAATAATCCACATACCTCCAGTGCAGTGGTCTTCCGGAAGATCTTACTCTTGACCGTATTAGACAACTGACGAGTGCACGCCTGACCTGTGACCTCGTTGCAACCCTCGTGATGTGTTTGCCGAAGGGAGAGGTGTAGGAAGTGTGTGCTCCAGCCCAGCGCAGAGCTCGCGACACACGACATACTGAATGTTGTATACAGTATATTGCAGTTGATATACTGTATACTGCATGTGATACTTATTTGCGGAAATTTCAAGATTCAAGATTCAATTTGCATATATTTCATATACAACAGACCGCCGTCATATATCACTGGAATACTGCTGAGAGCGGCGTTAAAACAAATTGTTTTCATAATGGAGCGCTGCAGTCATTTAAAATAGAACCGTATACATATGTACTTGTAGTACCAACTCACTCTATTTGTTTCGAATATTCAGCAGAAAATATATTATTAACCAGGTCTTTGGGAAAAGATATCAGATTTTTATAAGCAGCCACATAGGGATGATAAAGGACCCCTCGCTGATTAGGTTCTTGTTTACTTAAGAGCAGAGTTGGCCATGTTAGAACTCCGGGAGCTCCGGCGGGGGTCAAACTGGTCTTGTTAGTGTATGGTATGAGCTGTGGCGTTGACCCAAGAGAATAAAGTAAAACATGAGACCAACTCAAGTCTATAATGATTGGGAAAGTCTAGATTTCCACAGCTCTAGCCTGAAATTAAGAATTGTTCTATGCTCCATT